GCCAGAATTTGGATCACAGCTGGCTGGAACAGAATGGGTTGGTTCCATTTCTTGTTCCGCTTTTTCAGTTTGTGCATTGGAGTTGGCAGTTTGTTGGTTAGAAAGAGTGCCAACATCAATGAATGGTCAGCTTGTTTAATGTATAATTCCCTTTATGAAATCAATACCAATTCACCACTGTGTATCAACAACACGACTTTCCAAATCTCATCATGCCCAAATACAAAACATATTTCAATGATGACTTTTTCTCAACTGTTTAACCAAGCATGAAAAGACAAAGTTTGTTTTGATAACTATTTAATAAAACCGTATCAATACATTCCCCACCTGCTGAGATATATTTCAAGGAATCAAAGGATATATATTTTTGGCAAAGCTACTGGTTAATGAACCCATTTCCGTCTTTGAAATTTATTTAATTTAAAATCACAGGATCTACGTCAGACTCCCCAGCACATCATCAATAGTTCACAAGTTGGACTACATCTGTTATGAATGACAACTGCAGAGCCATGTCTTCAAAAAACAAGCCATAACACATTCAATGAAATCCATACACTTGTCAATGAAAGAGCTCAATATAACAACAGATTTACGCAATGACAACTAAACATCAAACACCTCCTGTCTGTAATCAGAGATGAAGTAGAACAAACATGTCCAAATAGAGTCGTTTTTTGCTCCTTCACACTTCTGGGTGATGATTATAGTCAGTGGAGCAGCATCAGTAGCGAGACCTGGACAAGGTCAGCTTGTTTTAACTCAATCAGGCCACTAATTGGAGAATGTGTGTGCTCAGTGGGAGTGGAGGCAGATACAGGACTGGCAGTCTGGCATGGGGGCAACATGTGCCGCCTCTTGCTGCAATAATCAGGCTCAATAGGCAGGAAATACCACAACTCCAGACCGTTTCAAAACTGGTCGGTTTGAATTGAAAATTTGCAGAAAGAAGACCAAGAAACTAAGAAAAGGTTGACCCAGTGACCATTCAGATGAGGTCAGCCATACAGGGGGACAATGTGGGTTTTTCTAAATTTCATTATTTGAATCAAGGGTCCCCCTAAACTGTAAATATGAACATTAGGGTTCTGACAAGGACTTTCAATCTGATTTCGAATGCTGATGTAATCAAACAAGTTAAGTGGCTATGATTGAATCATTATTTCTAGTTAACATCGAAAGTTAGAGGATAAAGGATAAATGACTACAGTATTTCTCAAAATTGTATCTACCTGTTAAATAGGTTTGAAAAAGGAGGCACTTTGTGGTAAAGGACACATTCTGAAGGAGAGCAAGAGTGTGTCAGCCAACAGGAAGGGTCATAGACAGAAATAGTTATGATTTTAATTAAAAAATGCTTCTTTATTGCTCCACCTAGAGTGAGGGACTCCAATCATGAATGAAGTCAAGCTCTGCACTTGAAGGATCAAGAGTGCAAGGTTTGCTGAGATTGGGATTTAATTTCCCTATCCTCATCAAGGGCCTTGTTGTCTTCCCAACATGCCCCTCATTTGAATAGGTCACCAGGGCTGGTCAGGGAATCTTATTGGCAACAAAAAGGTCCACTTCCTTTCCCACAATGGACATTCAGGGTTCTTTAGTTAAAGCTTTCATTTCCCGTGTCTACGTAATTAAAAGTCATCTTCCCAGGAAATGAAGGGGACTGCATACGTTCAAGCCCAATATTGCTGATATGCCCTACAATACAGCAGTGAGACTTGAACAATGCTGAGCTATCTCCACGGATTATTACTCCTGATGAATCATGTTAGTGTGTCAGTGTGCATTTCAGTCTCTCCATAAATTGCTTACTCCCATATTGAAATATATATATCAGATTCAATGAAGGTCAATTATGCCTACAAATCAAAGGAAGAAACTATCAATTCCTGATGAAACAAATTAATCCCCGACAAAACCCAAACTATATCAACTTGACATCTTAAAAACATCTATCAGCAATGCTCATCTGAAAGTTTGAAATCCTCAAGACAGCACCTGTGTCTATTAATTTCCTTGTGTCTGAAAACTCTTTAAACTTATCTCAAAGTTTTCCTCCCTATCAAGATAGAACGATCATTCCACAAACAATTAATGGCACTTATGATGAGAGTTCTAATTCCTGGACAGATGAAATGTCAGCTAGAGAAGAAATCATTCAAACCTAAGGCACCAGGCCAGCTTGTCTGAATGATAAAATTCCAAACTGTTACAAAATGGAACACAAACTCTGATTAACCTATCAATCTAGCTGGAAATTTAAAAACAAAATGTCTGAATCTCTGATCCAAGCTGATGCACTGATTCACATCCACAGTGATGAAAAACGGTTTCCTTGAAGCAGTCACCAGATTTATCTTCAAACATCAGATAATTACCCATTTAGCTTTGTCCATCTCCTTCCTACTAAATCAATCTCCACAAAAGTTAGCAAAATACATTACATCAGTTGAGAAAGATTTGGGTTTTTGGAGGACAACAAAACGAAAGGCCAGCTAAACAAAACAATCGGTAATTTGCCGTAATAGGGTAGACCTAGACTAAGGAGAGAAAAAATGTTTGTCCTTCGGCAGCAAAGTGAGACACGGAGCTTTTGGGATCAATGGGGCTGTTAGGGAATTGGATGTGAAGATTGATGTCAGATCGTTGTTAATTGACAGTCATAATATTAGTACTGCTTCGTTGAATAAATCCTGTTATGTGTTGTGAACTGTCGAATGGGATTATGATTTCTTTTTAATGCATACTTTTATGACAGAGGCATTGTCTTTCCGTGTTGGTAGATTGCCTCGTTATTCAAGATTTACTGTCCATGTCAATGATCATGATGCCTTATCAGTGAGTGAGTTGATTGTATGCCACATTTCAGCAATATTCCAGAAATATCACGTCCTCACACACTGTACCCATGTAAGCAATCAAACTCTGGGCTCCGGCATTTTGAGAAACACTTTCACCACTACCCCATCATCCAGCATTAGAAATTGGCACTCGTCCTGTAGTCCTTACCAAACTGCCCAATAGTAAAGGTATCCTAAGGACTAGTAGAAATTTGCCCGTTTTAAGGGTTTTGCTATATGTTATCATTATAAGGACTAGTGGACAAAAACTGTTAGTTTCTAACCCTGTCATCCAACATACATCAGTACGAGGTATACTACTTTACATTTCTCAATTCAGCATCCTGTCTTTTCCAAAACTGAACTAAGTTCAACAAGAGATGATTAAGAAACAACGAAAACAAACAAGGATTTAAAGAGGCATGAAAGCCTTTTCCAGGCAGACAAACAATTGTCTTCAATCCATGTCAAACTAAATCAGCTATGTCACAGCAGAGATTGGTTTTCCAGAGTTCCACTCAGTACCATATCTATGTGGCCAAGCAAACTCCATTTCAGACATCATTACCAGCCAACACAAGGCGTAGGATGACTCTGTGAAAACCTGTAATCTCCCACACAGCGAGGAGGAACAAGCGTGCTTGCCTGTGTATGAAAAGTGCAACACCAGCAAAGTACAATAATATTAAAGTCCAATGACTTTGTCGATCATAACACTGCACTAAAACCTTGAAGAGAAAACAAGCCATTGATGAAATTAATTCAAATTGACAAGAGAGGGTTGAACGCCATGCCCGTTCAATAAAGGTTCAATAAAGGTCGGGAACTCTAAGGACCCTACACTCTCCTGCTTCAATTTGTTAAGAGAGAAATACAAATTCTTGCAGCTTCGTAGACAAATGATAAAATAAGACTTTTTTTCCTCATCCTTTTGGCAAATGTAATAATACTTGAAGAGAACAGGAGAAAATTGGTTAGAGGGTACCAGTGTAAATGTAGCATGGAAGGAAAATGTATAGAGTGCTCCATGACTTGCCATCATAAGGAGATCACACTAAAACCATCTTTCAGTTTAACTCAGCTCACTTAAATTAGAATTCCTTACCTAGCAACGGAAACGTTTTTTTATTGTAGGAGTGCATGCAGAGAGAATTGTATGAAACTGATGAAATTTGGAAATGTGAGAGATCTAACAATGCTGGTTGTCACGTGCATATTTCACCTGACTCGGGTTAAATCCTAAATATAAACAACAGTAATTAACTACATGGTTGCACAACTCACACTGTGCCGACATTCTGCTTTAGTCCTATTTCCCTGTGGGGATTCTGAATTTGTTCAGTTACCCAGCAACATACGCTGGTCGTAAGAGGCAACTAAATGGATTTGGTAGTCAAGTTTGGAAACTTGGTTGTGTGCATGTCATCATACCTCGACTATTTGGTTTGTTGCTCATAATATCAATCATTGGTTTGTTTCGTTTTTGTTTGTTTGTTGTTTTAAACTGCACTCAGCACTATTTCAGCTGTATGACAGCAGTCTGTAAATAATCGAGTCTGGACCAGACAATCCAGTGACTGATATCATGAGCATCGATCCACACAATTGTGATCAATGACATACGAGCCTGACCACCCGATCCCGTTAATCGCCTTGCACGACAAGCATAGTCAGACCATACTCAATCATTTACAGGCTGCAGTCATAAAGCTGTGGTTTAAAACAACAAACTTTATTTCATTATTTGTTATTATCAGAGGATGGGTACATCAGTCAGATCTCAACAGCAATCCATAAACATCACAGTCTTCATGTATTCGTAACTATCAGAGTGTTTTTTCTCCACTGAGTCAACCTCCATTTCCACTGCTTCATCAGCTTCAAATGTACATCTCCAAATTGAATGTCTTATCTGATGAATTTGTTAACATTTACCTAATCTGGATGATGCTGAGAACAAAATGAACAGCTTCCTCCTCATTTCCCACAATGTGAGACAAAAAACAAGCTTAGGAATACATGGATGCATCAACTTCATCTCAGGTTGAAAATTGTAATAGCTTCAATAGTCTGCAATAGTTTAATATTGCATGCAGCTTGGTATAACCAACTTTCTCTGACAACACTGATTGCATACATTTTCTTCCTATGTTTCAGGTCAGTGGCTGTTTGGGCTGACTCTGTGCAACCTCTTTGTGACGTCTGATGTGTTCATGTGTACATCCTCTATACTGCATCTGTGTACAATATCACTAGAGAGATACATTGGCATCAGATACCCACTGTGGACCAAAAACAAATCTAAACGGGTTGTGCTGATGAAGATAGTGTTGGTGTGGACGATAGCCTTTGCCATATCAAGCCCTATATCTATCCTAGGCTTTGTGGATGGGAAGAACATTCTGCAGAACGAGCAATGTGTGTTGGATAATGAGCACTTTCAGACGTATGGTTCTATCTTCGCTTTCTTCATCCCTCTGGTCATAATGATCATTATGTACACGCTGACTGTGCGGATGTTGAACAAACAGGCCAAAATGTGTAGCAATGACAAGGAAGGACAGCCAATGATGAGAAGGTCGACAAGCAGGCGCCATTGGAAGGCGGGTGATAGTCAAAAACGAGAACATCTAAGATTTTCCCGCTCTTTCCCAATATCTTCTGGTAGTACTGATGAACAGAGCCAATGTGTTAATCAGTACAAACCTCTAACAAAGAGAAACACTGTCCCTCGTTCTCAGCAAAATGCAATCAGTCTTAGACGTGGCATTGACAACAGAGTGGAATATACATTTCGAAATGGAAGTGCTCAGGACTTGGTCAACCCAAGCCCTGACAGATCAAACTGCTGCAAAATTAATTTAATAGCTAAAAAAGAACCAATGAAATTGCGTGACCTGGTCAAGAAGCATCATGTTGCCATCAAAGCTGCCAATATTCTTCTTCTGAAGAAAGACTCTATTCGAAAGGACAGCAATTCTGTTCAAACTGAACAGAAAGCATCTAAAGTTCTTGGTGTGGTGTTTCTGATCTTTGTGATATGTTGGGCACCGTTCTTCCTGGTCAACATACTGACAGCTCTGTGCAAGACATGTACCTTCCAACCGATGCTCATCACAGCCTTTGTCTGGCTAGGTTACGTCTCCAGCACCCTCAACCCAATCATCTACACAGTCTTTAACAAAATATTTAAGCAGACCTTCATTAAGCTGTTGTGTTGCCGATATAACACTCTCCACAGAGGACGGCGTCACAGCGCCATTACCTCCCGAACAGGACTCATGTGCAATTCAATGTGTGGCTCTGGCAACAGCCACAGCATGGAGGAATCGGCATGCTAACACGGCATATCCAGACTGCAGTGCTGCAGAAGTGACAGGTGGATTCCAGAATCATTACATGTCTTGGATTACAATTCTCTGCATTACCTCTTTCCTTCATTATGAAGTCATGTTTCCAGTAACACTTCCACTTTCTTAGACATCCAATGTGAGGAGGAACTATTCAGTATGATCAGTCCATGGCAATGTAAAGTTGCTGCAAGTATTGGATTCAGTTTCAGAGACAATATGTTCTGTGTTTCAATGGCTTGTTGAGTCAAGCATTCACAAGATTTCCTTCCAAACCCTTCTTTATGAACTAATGGGTAACAATGTATCTGGTTCTACTATTAGTTTCTCTAATAGTTGAGAATATCTTTGTGGTGAATATCTGCTGCTAAGGTCACAACAGTGCTAACATGTATATAGCAACTACAGGTCTTTCTCCTCCTAAGATACTACAAAAAACAAGTTCTGTCAAACTGCTCAAGAACTCATGGATCTAATCACAAAACACTTAAAAATGATTTTTGAGACTTAAAAAAATCAAAAAGATGATTGATCAGTTTTAGATTTATTAAATACACCAAAGATCCAGCAGAATGTACAGTAATAGGGTTCTGCTTCGTCAACTGTCACAGCCCTCGTGTGGAAATGAGGGCTGTATATCCCCTATAGTCACAAAATCATAAATGTGTCATGTTCTTGGAACAGAGCTCTGGTTCCTAGAAGCACTGCTATTACTCTGTTAAGAAACGTCTTGCTATGAGGATTCTCAGGGCAGAACAACTAGTTTGAAACCCACCAGAATGTATTCCAGTGTGATAAGGATATCATCTTGTGTGCAACTACAAACGATGCTTCAGGAATATGTTACCAAAGGCTGTGATGATGATATTTATACATAAATGTTCTTCCTAAATATCGTCAAGGTTCTGGAAACACTCTAGTGGAAACAACCAGACTGATCTGGAACTGCTACAAATCATCTTGTGTAGCTGTCAGGTTGAATACTCAAGTGATACGAGGAATCTATCCATCTGGAGACTGGGACTACAAGTCGATAGATACACTGAAATGCTGCAGGGAAATGGTTTGCATGTAATGTAAAACAATCACCATTTTGGACTTGACAGATTTGTGCAGAAAAGTTCAGAACATTTTGAGATCATGTCAATATGACCTTAACTTGTGATTACAAGGTCACATGGCCAAACTGAGGAAAAACACACTTGGTACCACAAACAGTTCCTTGAAAAGAGGAGTTATGCATAATTTGCTGGTGCCGATGGTCTTGCAAACACAGACTCCTTCAGTGAGATGTATTCTCTCAGAAGACAACGTGTCAAAGCTTTTTTGTAAAATGTTTGTGCGTGTGTGAATATATCTATTCAGATGCAGTGTGGATGTAACCAAGCTTGGACATATTGACAGACATCAACAAGGAAGTGACACATGGAATTACTCATTGGGAACTTTGTTCTTGAGTATGATGCGAGCAATTCAAAATATTCTGGCATTTATTGATATTAAGCAGATATGTATGGGGAAATTTCTCCAAGATTAAAGACAATGGCGGATAGCTGTTACTCAAGCCAAACACAGTCAGACAGTTCAAGACATAAACTGTAAAAAGAGATGAAATTGTTGCTTTTAAGTTTCTCATCATTTCATGCCATGTTTGATACAAACATCTCCTACAAACACAATTCAAGTTTATACACATCCAGGTATCAATCATGCAAATGAAGTGAGGTTGTTTGGGTTTGATTTGTATTTTAAAGAAATACTTTTTGAATATAGGACTGAATGCCTTCATTTGATCACAGTCAAAGCCCATGCTTTTAACACCAAATGACATATTCAAATTCCTTAATAGCATATAATGCTGAAAAATCAAAGAAAATTGACATTGAATGTCTGATTGATTCACTATCCTGATTGTCAAGTCCAAATGACAGAAATATGATTATGATAGAATGGCATTGTTTCCGTTACATCATCTCATTCCACCATGTGACGCAGTGATCATGTTTCATCAGCCGTGTTTCAAGTATATAGAGTATGTTTTGTATCAGACATATTCTGTGATACCTGGTCAGATGACATTGTTGTGTTTTTGATAGATCTATATTCCAGTGTCTTACCTACACGTACGTTAGTTCAACTACAAGATAAGCTGCTTGTGTGGACTGCTGATTACCCAACGGAGAGACCATACCATACAGCAGAACTTACACATCTCCAAAGGACAATCCTTCAAATGTCTTTCAAAACACTTCTCCCACACTACAAAGATAATTTTGATCTTTTCAAATGGTAATTTTTTCATCACATCAAGGCATAAATCATCAGAAATCAAAAGAAAACAACACCAAAAAATAGGACAGAAACGATTAAGGGAAATCATATCTGACAAAATTGTCCTAATTTTCAGACAAATTTGAAACATTTTCCCTCGTTAATTCACCATTTCGTCAAGGTAAATTAATACCTTGATATCAGGAATGGCCTAACACACAGTCTGAAAGGAGGAGCTCCAGCCCAATAGCATCTGACATGAAGGCGTATTCCAGCCAAGTCACCTGACCTGACATCCACCACTACCAGTACCTAGGACTGATGCATACTAGACTATTGTATGTCCCTGTAGGAACATGAACATGCTGAGTACATCTGTGTATGTTGTGTACACTGTACACCGGGTACATCTTGTGGAGTATATTTTGACATTCATATCTGTCCGACACAATGTTCAATTACAGAATATATTGTTTAGTGACACAGACAATAAATTATTACAGAGATATTATCCTGCTTCCCTTTTCCTTTCATGATGCTGCCATGATCACTTCCGGGGATAAAAATTCAGGGGTCGTGGTGTCCATGAGGTCTTCTGTGGTACTGGAACCAAGTGACCCCGAAATCTCAGACTTGGACCCTCACACTTTCAGGCTTATTTTCCAACAGAGATTTCTCTACGGACATATCTGTATATCTGTTTCCTTAGGCCAGGTTGAATTGATTTTTACCCGCGTTCACAAAACATTATTGTTCTGAAGTACCCACGCCCCCAAGAAACAGCAACATGTATTCCCTTCAGTCTCTACTTCAGGAAATACTTCCAAACATTTATCTTTCACAGCTAATGCCTTGAATGGTTTGTTTAGGAAAAATAATATAAAAAGTAACATGCCTCCCACAAAACGTGTTTAAAAGATTTGGATGAAAATCTAACTGTTAATTATTATGGCATAAACATAATGAATACGGAACGATGAATTTCATGTTGGTGTGACAATCAAAAACCACATCAGACCTTTAACTATCTTCCTATGGGCTTTTTCAGCTCTACATCAATAGTAATAATATATCACATGCTCTTGGGAACTCAACATGAAGTTATTTATATATTTTTTTAAAATCTTTTACATCCTCAAGGTATGTTCCCTTCCTATTCCTGTTCTCAAAATGACATGCTCCAAAAGCAGGATCTATGAATAGTGTAAATTGGGGGATACTGTGCATTAGCCTAAAGTGCAAATATGGGTATCTTCACAGCGTCAATGCCAGATGATTATGGTAATTTAAACACACTCCACAAAGTGGCAGTTAGACACAAGCTGCAAGTGCATATACAAAAACATGTTTGTCACCGAGCTGTCATTGACTCTGGACATGGATATTGTGCCTGGTTATGGAAGCAGCAAGATGCAAGTGCATATACAAACACATGTTTGTCACTGAGCTGTCATTGACTCTGGACATGGATATTGTGCCTGGTTATGGAAGCAGCAAGATGCAAGTGCATATACACGTTTGTCACTGAGCTGTCATTGACTCTGGACATGGATATTGTGCCTGGTTATGGAAGCAGCAAGATGCATCCCATGAGGGCAAACTTTGGTCAGCTTCTCAAAAGTTGCAAATCTCATGTTTCAAGATTCAGATCTGTGTTGGCCATGATAGACTTGATCTAGAATGATGGATACCTGTACATAAATGTTTTGGGGATGAAGAAGTTGGATAACATTTGTGTACATGACCATATAGGCAAGGCTAATTCATGATGCCAATGGGCTAATTCTGTTGTTCCTCAGATACAATTGAAAACAAGTTAAGAGGACATCATCCGTTGATCTGCTCCCACAGAGGATATTTATAAGAATAAGTCATCCATTTATTTGGCCAGCACATCCATATTTTGTATTTTCAACTACTTTTAAGGAACCCAAGGATGGAAATTAACTCAAAAAAACAAACATACAAGCAGAGCTAGTGGGATTTCTTTTCTGCTAGCACTGCAAAGGTTACTAGTCCTCATGAAATACGAAAACTGTCAAAATTTCAATCTATAATGTACGATAAAAACATTAAATTGACATAGATTGTGTATAATAGGTAATTGCAGACATTATTCCTTACAAGAAAGACTGGACATGTTGTGCCAATTGTCTAAAGCAGTGATTTGACGGGGGGGGGGGGGGGGGGGGGAAAGATTAAGAGAATGATAGATTTAGTGTAAGTGTAAAAAAACTGACTGCCCATAGGCTCGTAGAATTATAATAATATTAGCCCAAGGTAATTTCTACTAGCCTCGGGCCTATGGGTGAGCAACAATTTATATTCCTTGAACCAAATGACCTTCTCACACTTACATTAGTTTCCAATTTAGTGCCACTGAAAGGTGCAGAGAACTGAGGTCTTACCATAATGTGAGGAAATCAGAACTAGACTTCTGATTCAACAGTGTGGCATGTATTTATGTAAAAAAAACAGTATAAACTAATTAAGTTTGCTCTGACCAAACACATTACCTATTACAGTTTTACATACATGATCCAATTTAATCTGACAATAACAGACTGCCCAGACTGCAAACAACACTTGCAAAAGTTTACTGGCGATATTCAAAGCAGTTTACAGAAACTAAAAAAAGTGTGGTGTCAATATTAGTTAGAACATTGCCCAGTTACAACTTCATTGCAGAAGATGGTTACTTATATATGATTACAAGAGGACAAAGTAATTGATATCCCTAGCAATGGTAAACACTTGCTGTTGATGTGTCAACTAGTTACATATATATTTTGTTGCCATAGAAACTCAAAAGATAAATTTCTCAAAAGTCCAAAACTGTCAAACTCCACCAGTTTGCTGAAGAAATATTGTGCAGTTTTCAAGATCTGCTACAGTAACAAGCACAACCACCATTTCAGCCTAAGTCAAATTTGTTGCGAAGGAAATTCGAAAAATATATTTTCCAAAAGTCCCAAACGATCAAAAGGCACCAGTTCACCACTAGACCCATCTATGTGCCAACTTTGGTGAAGAAATGTTCTACTTTTTTCAAGATCCGCTCCGGAAATGAACACTGGGATAGGCTACACACTTCTCAGCTTGGAAACATATCTCAATGCAAGGGATACTTAAATAAGGAATGCCAGACATGTTCAGGCAAGCAAATAGCTTTTTCTTGAATGAATGACATAGTCTTCTCTGCTGTTTGTTTGTTATAGTTCATGCCATGACATGGTTAGAACTACAAACACTAGAGTTGTAACAATACATCTGGGCCATGGGACCTAACTTCCTCGTCTCGACAAGGGTTGGAGGAAAGCAGCAGAACAAGGTATAAGGAAACTACAATGAAATTGGTTAAAGATCTAGGCTTTGGAGTTACATCATCATACAGTCAGAATTCCAGAACAGGTGTCGTCTATCTCCAGTCTGGAAAAGTCCCCCTCAATTGCCAGCACTCCTAGCACCAGTTGGCACCATGCTGGCTTTCTCCAGCTGTCACCGAGGAGGTCAAGGCAGGTCAGACAATCCGGGGATGATGGATGTCACTCACATGATTGAAACGGGGAAAGGATGCTCCACACTCCTGCAGTGAACCAACTGTCAACTCCTCCTCTCCTTTCCTCTAGGATAAGGCATCTAGTTTTCTAACGTATAATCAATATAGCTCGATCACACTACAGAATCTTGGCTATTCTCTTAGGCATGACAGGGTATGATCAGAACAGTGACTTTCAGCATGTATGTCATGCATTTCACTCATAGGTACTTTCTGACCGAGTTTAACCAATGTAATTGTAGGGATTTTAAAGTAAGTGACTTTGTTAGTTTGTTGTTTAATACCCCACTCAGCAATATACCAGCCATATGGTGGCAGTCTGTAAATAATCAAGTCTTGACCAAACAATTCAGTGATTGACATAATGAGCAACAACATAAAGTGATTGTAGTGATGTGGCAAACTTCTAACCATATTTCAGCAACATGTAAACATAAAACTTCAATGCCAGAGAATAACCAGTCTTGATTATCCACCAAAACAGATTCCGTTGTCGTAAAAGGCAAAACAGTGTTGAAAATTATAATTTGCATTTCAGGGCCAGGAAAGCCAATGGTTGATAGCATAGGCTACCCTCCATGCAATCAGGGTAAGACGACACATGCACGTCACGCACTGTATCCACCAGATGCTCATTGTAGTCTGTTCCTATGACAAAGATATGGTACTGGGGACTTTCCTGCGACGGTGACCTTCCTTACAGACATGCCTAAGAACAGCAACTGAGACTATCCACTGTGACTAAAAAAACTATTCATTGTCCCTAAAACATCCTCCTCTTAAAAGCGTTCAGGGTCCCCTGCCGTGGCTCAGTAAGTCTGCCACCTCACCCACGACCTTCCAAGACCAAGGTCAGTATCCAAATCCTCCAACAGAGCAAAAAAGTGCTGTGGGGACATCATCCATCAACTTTTTACTGTGCTCCAGACTTGAACTTGAATGATAGTGACAGCAGCTGTAGAATCACTTCTTGTGATAAAATAATAGCTTTGTTTGTATGAGAACGAAAAACTGAAAGTTTAACCATACATACCTGAACAGAATCGAGCATACTGCTTTATCACAAAATGCCTTACCTGGAACAAAAAAGAGAATATGTATGTAAAAATGGAAGCTAAAAAGTCACAAGAATGGCTGCATTTGTATCATTAAATATGAAAAGAATTATTTCAGATTTAATACAATTGGATATTTTCAGTCAAATCAGAGACACGAATACAAAATGTTTCCACTTCTGTAGAGACTGACATGCTGACCAAAGCATATTAACCCTACTGGAGACAAACTAAGTGAGTGGATTAGATTTTACACCAATTTTAGCAATGATCCAGTAATAACACCGCAGGCACACAAGAAATGAGCTTCACGCTATATATCCATGCGGGGATCTCCCATCTCTCTTCCGTATGACGAGTGAAGGCTTTAACCACTCCGCTACCCTCCACCCCAGACTACATAAAACAACAACCCATCATTGTGTTGTTACAAATATCATTACACACCAATATTTGTTAGATTTGAACAGAAGCGTGAAGATCCAGGTTATGATAGGTCTTCAGAAACCCATGCTTGTTCTAAGAGGCGACTAACAGGATCAGATAATGCCACAAAGCTGACTTGGTTGATGCATGTCATCCCAATTGTGTAGACCAAAGCTCATGATGTCAATCACTGGATTATCTGGTCCCAACGTGATTATTTACAGACCGCCGTCATATTGTTGGAATATTGCTAAGTGCAGTGTCAAACAATAAACAAACAAACCAATACAAATAGATCTGAAAATGTGTCATGTGACAGTTGGACATCTTCGAATTTTTGAAAAAAAACATTAGTTGAATTATTTGCAGATTTGGTAATATATTATGAATGAAAAAAATGTATTTGTATGTGTATTGTTTTTGTATATGTTCACGTCACAAAATTATTTCTCTATGGATATACATTCTTCC